AAAAAAAAAAAGCCAATTGTTATATGTTTATGGTAAAATGAATTATTGAGGTGTGATTGAACAAATATTAGTGAAATAAATCTATAAGTTATGAAGAGATTCATGCCCACATGAGCACATTAATGTCACATGAAACTCATAAAAACTTAGATTCATGGCATTCTGTAATAGTATAAAAGGGATAACAAATAATGTAATATTTTTGTTCTGCTTTTGTGGTTAACTTGAAAAACCTTCAGAATCAAGAGCAATTACTCAGTACATTGCACGCGCGTACACCAACAAGGGCGAACCACTCATACCCACCGACCCCCACAAGATGGCCATTGTCTCCGTTTGGACAGAAGTCGAGTCGCAAAAATTTGAGGTTGTAGCCTCCAAGCTTTCATACGAGCTCGTCATAAAACCCAAGATAGGCCTGGTCACTGACCCTGGTGTAGTGCACCAGCACCAGGAGAAACTAGCTCCGGTTCTCGATATATATGAGTCTCGTTTGTCGCGGTCCAAGTATTTGGGCGGAGACGAGTTTAGCCTGGCGGACTTGCATCACATCCCCATTGTGTACTATCTGTTGGGGACTGAGATTAAGGCCCTGTTTGATGCTAGGCCCAAAGTCAGCGCGTGGTGTGACGATATATTGGGCCGGCCCAGTTGGCAGAAGGTTGTGCAGGCTATGAAGATCTGATCTGATCGGCCCGTTAAGGACCCGTTGGTTCTTGTGGTTATGGAGATGATAATTATTTTCTACGGACTGGAAGTTTTTTGCTTCTCCAAATAAACAAATGGTTGTTGTTTAATTGGAACTACTACGAATCCCGTGCGATGCACGGGTAAGAGATATATATTAATATTTATATTAAACGATGAGATGTACGTTAATAACATAACACGTAGAGAACTAAAGTAAAACACAACCACACGTATGTCTATATATTTGAAAATAAAATTAAAAACATAGCCATTTGCTTATATTGTCAACATCTTGCTGCATAGCTAAATTACAGAAGTTAAAATAAAACATTGGGAAATCGGTAGGACACTACAACACTTTGCAGTAATAGATTGTGATTTACTAATGTTACTTTCTACCATCCTCGAACTTGTCACTCATCTTTGTAATGTTAACGTCACGAATTAGTCCAGTTATGCAGTCACCCTATAAAATCGCAATACAAAAATAATATTTGCGTCAAAAAATATTAAAATAATAAATATTGACAACTACTATTAAATCACATAATGAAGAATACTAACATCACTATCGTGGAAAACTATATTCAAATAACTTCTGTAAGAGGCATCAAACATCGTCTTAAAGATGCTGCTGAAAGTTTCAATATGACCTTAGTATTTCATTTAAAATCCTTGATTGTACCAAGAGTTGATCCATGCCTTTATTTGAATGTGTGAGTTTATGATTGGTATTGAATTTCATTTTACCAGGAATGTGAGTTTATTTATAGATGAAATTTTGGTGCTTATATATGCACTTATATTTTTTAAGTTTTAAAATGTGGATTTATATGATATAAGCTTATTACTTGATTTGAACTTTTTTTTTGGCGATTTTGAGGGAAATCAGATCATATCCCAAGAATATCCTAAGACTTGATTTTTTTTTTCGATTTTGGTGGTAATAAAACTATTCCAATAGTGTATTTATCTCTTAAATATATGATTTTTTTTAAAAAAATGGTAATAAAGAATGTTAGTAATTTGAGGTTCCCAAAATTTTTTATGTTCTTATTTTTCTTAATCAAATATGTTAACACTAACTATTTCGAACGTGTAACAAATATAAAATTATTGAGATTTTCCTTTAATTGAATCTATGCAATTAGGTAAATAAAATTAAGTTAATATATAAATACCTAACTTTATATAAAGTAAATAAATAAACGCAGTATTATACCACTATAATATGCTTTCAATTCGTATATTTTAATCAAAAGGGAAATATAACCTCCGATTTAGGTTATCTATCGTTGCCGAAAAAAAAAAACCTCCAAATTTAGGTAAATAGATATATGATATTATTTGACATATTCCTTCAAATTGCAGACTTTTTTACAAAATTATATATATTTTTATATAGTTGCAATACGTTAAGTCAATAATTTTAAAATATTGTACTTTTTTAACTGATTTAGTTAAAAATTGATATAAATTATGACCTCACCAGCCATAGTCTTGCAAATCAAATAGCATTGCAAAAAAATAATTTTAAGTAACATGTGAATAATATATAAAGCAAACATATACCATAGAAAATTGGTATAACTATAGTTTTTATTTTATTTAAAATTACAATTTTCATATTTTTCTTTTTTTTTTCTATATTTAGAATATTATTTTATGTAGTATATTTTCTCCTATTAAAATTTTTATATATAATGTTATATTAAATACAGTTTCTGAATTACATTACGAATTTAAATAAATTAGTTAACTAAATCAACTAAAGAATATAAAATTTATAATTTTATATTATCGTTAAAGGCAATTAAATACCATGAACAGCCTTCATATGCCCACACATAAAGTACGATCATCATTTAATGACCAAGACAATCATAATAAGAATGAAGAAAAACTGATTTGGAGTTGCATACAAATATAAACAACTGAATTTTAAATTTTAGATATTTTAAATGAATCATCGTATCAAGTCCCACTTTAATGCACATTCATTACATCCAGCTATCACCAAGTTAATTTTAGTCATTTAGGTGTCTAGTTTATTATTTCTAACACCATCTCAAGTAAAGCATTCAAAATGTCTGATCACAATGTCATTGAACCTCTCTGATCGGTGAGCTGTCTTCGGGCTTTGCCCGCTGGCCATTAGATACTGAAAAAATATTTTATTAGTCAGATGTGAAGAAAAAATGTATTCAAATTCTGAAAAATGAGTAAAAAAATCCTTTTTCTTGAGGATAGAAAAGTGAGAATCAATTTTTCTTCATTTTCTTTTAAGCTGCTAAAACACATACCTGAGATGATGTTCTTGAAGGAGAGCACATGGAAGGTGCCACCAGCTCAGGATCATTTTGTCTTTCTGGTCCAGGTGCCGTAAAATTGCTTTGTGTTTGCTCAGAATCCCGTAACAAACATGGCCACGTTCCTCTTAAGTAGGCTACTCATGGACGGGCTGAGGTTGAACCTCTTAGGGCATTCGATCTCCCCTTTACTCAGGTGGGGCAAACCATGCTGGCAAGTGAGCAGTCCTCCAGCTGCATCAGGTCAGCAAACGATGGCTCGGGATCATCCTGGGCTCCAGTGGTGCTGCCACTATTGACATAGGCTAAGGAGTTATGCAAGATGTTCGTGAGGACGTCCACCCCATCATAATATGCCCGTTCTTCAAAATAGCCCTCAATGCCACCTCTTCATCATAGCCCAAAGCCATGAGCTTGTTAATGGCTTTGTTATAAAGATACTCCAAATTCTTAAGTAAAATCTCCTCCAGCTGCTCCTCGGTGCAGTAACCCCACCCGTTATCCTCGAATGCAGAGATCGGGCCTATCATCTGGCTCTCGGACAGGGCCTGGAGGCCCATCTAGTAACCTTTAGGTTTTAGGTAGGTTTTGCCATTGGATGATTTCTGACATTGTCGTTGGTGTTAGCGGAGGTGGAATGATTGGGTTCGGGTTTTACCGATTGGGTCTTCAGATTTGACCGGATGTGTTCTCTCGGACGGTGCAGCCCATAGAACAGGGATCTACAAATTCGATCGATTCAGTTAACAAAGAGCAAGAACCCTATCGAGAAAGTGATAATCACGATGACAAATTAGCTACATAAACATATGCTTGATGAGTTCTGAGAAATTGGTAAAAAGGTAGAAAAAAATCAGGTAACTACCAAGAAGAAAAATCCAGGTAACTTCACCGCTGTTCTTGTTCTGAAGATCGTCAACTGGAATACATATACATACATAATCAGTAGGGCATTGTAAAAATACACAAGGAAGTAAACATAATGAAGTACATTGAACAGCAAACACCCATAAGAAATAAAGAAAGGATGCATAAAATCGCACCAGGAGGCAGAGTAAAGCTCACGGGCAATCTAGACACAATAAGCACAGGATGATTTTGTACCCGAGGAAAGAAAGCCTCAAAAGGCTCTAAGAGAACATCAATACATACACAATAGAAAAAATGAAGGAGATCTATCAACTCTCTGTGCATAATTCTAAATTATCTCAACCTACGTTTGAGCTAAAATTCCATTACCTAGAACATCAATTAACTAATCATATGAATAATATGAACCCAAATCTTCCACCACAACAATTATGAAAACGCGCAATTGCTCTAAAAAACACAGCCATCCGGTGTTTCAAGCACAAGAATCCAATGAGAGAAATCTCAAAATAAATGAAGAAGCGAAAAAAAAAAGCATGAATAAAAAAGAGCAATACTGCAAAAAGAGATTTGTTCTCAACTTCCCAATCGAAATCTTCTTGATGAATTTTGAGCGACGATGCAGCGAATCTGCGGCGTAGGAACTAAAATTCATCCTCGTCCTCGCCGGAGAAGCACGTTGACATGCAGACATCCGAGGCGCCTGCGTGGGTCGACGACTACGTGACTGGAAAGTGGAATCGGCCGCCATTGGCGAGGAGAGCGTGGATCTGGTCGCCGGAGGGCTTGAGGCCGAGAGACCAGAGGAGGGCGGAGAGCTCGAGTTGGGTGAGGCTACCGTCGTGGCCCATGTCGAACCGCTTGAAGATGCCGTGGAGTTGCCGGATCTGTTCCGATTGGAGCTTGGTCATAGCGATTTGGCCGGGGAAAATTTTGGGATGAGAAAGAGAGACATTATCTTCATTTTTTTTCTCCTGCGAATCTTTTGGATTAAAAAAATCAGATTCTAGAAATAGATAAGTCAAAATAAGTTGAAATCAATTAATAAAATCTCCAAAAATTTTGAATTGCATGGGCGGGCTTATTCTTTTTTCGCCAAAAATCCTGCTCTAAACTTTAGGCGGGAATTGAAATCTTTTTTTTGATGATTTTTTGGTTGATTTTTTCAAACAACTATCATTCCCTCTTTATATATTAATAGATTCAGATTCATGTGCCAAAAATTACTTGCTTGTCTTCCAGAATAAATGTAGTTACGTTTTAACTTGGCAGAATTGCATATAAAGACACCACCGTTGAGGTTTGTTTTGCAATTTAATCACCAACTTTTACTATTTCATATGTTTTGCAGATTGAATCATATATTTAACTTTTGTCAGACTTTCCGTTTGTACCAAGTCAGCCACGTAGCAACTCCAATCGAACATATCGATCTGCAAAACAAACATATGAAAGATGGTGATTTAATCGCAAATAGTGGCACTATCACCATTAACGCTAATGTAACCATTAACATTCTTGTGAAGTTCATTTAGTGGGCAGAAATAGTGAGATTCAATAGTTTCATTTTAGGGATTGAATGGTATTTTAAGGAACGAAGGTGAGAATAAAATATACACCATAATGCACGGGATGCTGAAAATTTATGAAACACTTTGTCATTTTTTTTTAATTTTGTTTTAGTTTTATTGACTTTAAAATATAATAAGTGGAAATATGTGGGACTATAAAAAATTAGATTTTTATAGGTTTTTGGTTAATTAAAGTTTTGTGCTTGTAATAAAATTAAGGTGTTAGTGATATGGCCATTGCAAATGTAAAAATAAGTTTTTGTGGGAGTTTTTTTATTGAAAGTAGCTTGGAAATTGAGCCACACCATAGCAAAAGTTTTGGACCACTCACATTTTATCTAATAAACATGGACCTGTTGATGGCTAGGTCATTTCATAAATGTACCTTGCACAGCACTAAATGTATCCACCTAATTTGCAGCTACAATTTATAACTACCCATTTTTCTTGGTTAGGTGTGTCGTCATTTCATAATATTTTATTATACTTATCATATTTTTTTCAATTGATATTTTTAAGTTGAAATGTTATACATAAAAAATAAAATGCCACAAGCGTTATAGTTAGGTCATCATACTTTTTCACGAGATATTTTTTAAATTAAAATGTTATACAATAACTAGTACAATACATGTGTACTACACAGATACTTGTTAAGAAAATTATATTTAAAAGTAAATAATAATAATAATAACAAAAAAATTGCTTTAATTTTTAAATACTTTATAAAAAATATATTATTATTTATATTTAAAATGACACCGTCACTTACATGACTTTCCATCGTATATTCAATTTTTTTAATTTATATCAAATAACTACTTTGTACTTCAGTTAGTTTAAATAATTATGTTTTTTGAATTAATATTAATAGGTAATATAATTTTAATTACAAAGATAAATAAAATTATTTATTTTGTATGCATAACACAGATGTCAAATTGAAGGTCATCAAGACATGATTAATTTGATTTGTTAAATAAATAAATAAAAACTATTAACTTTTAGATATATTTATAACTTAAGTTGGTAAATTTGTTATAACTTTATTAGAAAGATTGGAAAAAATTATACCTTACAAATCACGTCTACAATAGAAAATAATATTAAAATATAATTAATGTTCTTACAAGGGACCATAAATATCAAATATATTTATGGATGTTTCAAGCCTAGTTACTTTTGAATTGGAAATAATTAAAATTCATCCAGGTCAAACAACAAAGATTAAATTGCACCAAACCGTGGTTATTGCATGAGGCCATTAGCGTCGCTCATCCACGGAACGTTATTCTCGAGAGGCTTAGGCTTCGACCTCCTTTCTTNTTAAGTGTGTGATTATATATGAATTTGATTTGGTCTTGATTTTTTTTTTTTTCTTAATCATAGTTAATTTTAAAAAATGTGATATGATTATTTATTAGTAGAATTTTAAGTTTATATTAAATAATATTTAAAGTAAAACAGTTAAATATAATTTAATGTAAAAACAGGAGAGAGATAATGTGAATTGATAGTTAGTTAAAATTATGCGAGTGGATGAATAGTGAATTGAAGTAGAAGTAATGTGTAAGAATGATTGATTTGTGCTATTTAATTATATTGATAATATTGAAGATAGTGTTGTTGAGTTAAAATTGAGTTAAAAAATTGTAACAAAAAATAAAATGAGTTAAAAAAGTGATTGAGTTAAAAATGATTAGTTTTTATATCCAATCACACCCTAAGGAAGCCATTGAATATTAGATAAATTTTTTCATCATTTACTATTTTTTTCTCTATTTTTATCCACATTGAATCATTTAAGATAGTGTGGTTTTATAATTTTAAATTTTCTTATAGAAGAAGATCACATGTACCATGAGAACCTCGTAGTGTTGTGATTAATTTTACGTTAAACAAATTTTAATCCGGATTTATGTTATTAAAAATAGCAACACGATGTATAATAATATTCTCATAAATAATAGAATAAAGGCAAAATTGCATATAAAAGCACCACCTTTCATGTTTTTGCATTTTAATCACGACCTTCGCATATTAGCATTTAAGTACATGACCTTTCATCCCTTTGCAAGTCGAAGCACGCCTTTCATCTCCGACACCAGTAAAATGACGTGGCTTGCCGGAATACACATGTGGAATTAAAAGAAAAAACGAGAAAAATGCAAATCCACTTTGTCCAGTCTTTTTTTGACACGTCGACTGCACCAAAAAATTAAAAAACTAAAATTGAAATCCACGTCGCCTTGCAGAAAATCCCTAAATCGAAGAAGAATGAAGCTTAAAAAAAATCCTCTGTAAAGGCCATCTCTTAACACAACGATGATACCTCCGAGCTGAATTTTTATCCGTGTTCGAGGTTAGCATTTCTACTTCCAAATTATGGAAACACATACGAGGCTGATGAGTTGTTGTTCGACTACTAGATCCACTCGACATTTTCAGGAAAAATTGGGGATTTTGAAAACACAATTAGGGTTCGTATGGGAAGAGGAATTGGAATTTTGGGGTGCTAATTCAGGGTTGTGGAGAAAGTTTACAGAAGTTGAAGAGCATATGATTCACAGAAATTTTGCAATTTTCATAGAAATTTCGCCATCTTCACAGAAATTGAAGATCAAAATTAGGGTTCGATTGTATATGTGAATCTGTGACGGGAGACTTAAATAATCGATCTGGGGGAGAGAAGGCGACGTGGATTTGGTGTTTTTTAATTTTTTTAGTCTATATGTTATTACGAGAATGGGCGACATGGAATTTATTTTTTTTTCTTTTTTTGAACATTCCACATGTGGATTCCGACAAGACACGTCAGCTCTATTCCGGCGAGGTAGAAGGCATGCATGATTCGATTTGCAAATAAGCAAAAGGTCATATACTTAAGTGCTAATATATGAAGGTCGTGATTAAAATGCAAAAGCATGAAAGGTAATGCTTTTATATGTAATTTTGCCTAGAATAAAATGTAATGTTAAAAATAGGTATCGTAGGATTTATTTTTACTTTACAGTACCTATATATATACCAAATCCACAAGAACTTCATAGTTTGCTATTATCAATATACAATGATGGCCACAAAACTGTATGGACACCCACTTCTTGTACCAACAAGAAGAGTTGCTTTGTGCCTTGAAGAAAAGGGGCTTCAATATGAGTTTGTTCTGGTTGATTTATCAACTGGCCAGCAGAAAAAGGAGCCTTTCATTTCAATCAATGTAAATTGCAAATTAATTTTTCTCACCTCATTTTCTTTATATTTTTTTATCCTCAATTTTGAATATTATATTTGATTATTTCTTTATTACAATATTTAATTATCTTACTATGATGAGTTCCCATGAATGGTTATACAGCCTTTTGGTCAAGTACCAGCACTTGAAGATGGAGAACTGAAGCTCTTTGGTAAGTCTCCCTTATAATTACCATCACTCTAATTTGGTACTATTGTTTGATTAATATGACAATCGTGTACTACACGAGTGTTTGGAAAACAAACTACACTCTAATTTAGTATTATTTTTTTATTAATAAAAAATTGGTGCATTATATAGGTGTTTTGAAAAACAAATAGTTGTAGTGTACGTACAAATATTGGTGAAAAGAATCAATAACCTTAATATATATTATTAATTAAAAATTAGAAAAATGAATAACTGTTGTTTGATGATGTTGTAAGAAAAAATGAATAATTGTTGTGAATAGTGGAATTACACCATGTGAACAGAGGTGATGAAGATATCAAAATTTTGTGAAGGAGAATGAAGTCGCTATCTGATACCTATAAAAGGCATGTCTTTTCTAACAAAATGAGTCCATACGGAAGGAAAAAATAAATTCAGTACAATCTATATTCGATTTCAATATATACTTCTTTATCTCTTTTTCTATATTTATCTGCACGAGCATTCTACCGGCCTGTCAAAGGTAAAAATATACTAATTATATATATGTTGTATAAAATTATAATATTTCACTAATTTATATATTATTATTATTATTGACAAGTAAGACTCTGTCATAGTCATTAATATGTGGTATGAATATACAAAATATACATTTTACTAATTTGTACATTACCATTATTATTGACAAGTAAAGTTGTGCCATAGTCAATAATGTGTGGTATGAATATTCTAAAAATAATACTTTATTAATTTATATATTACCATTATTATTGACAAATAAGGCTCGACCATAGTCAATAGTATGTGGTAAGATGATATTATTAGATTTACTTATGAATTAGTAACTAGTGCGTACTCCGTGCGATGCACGGGACAAAGATATTAAATGAGTTATTTTCACAGCCTTGTCCGTTTAAGTCTAAAAATAATAGGGTTATTATCTATTTTCTACCGCTTTTAATCAACGTGAAGTCTAAAAAACAATAGGGTTATTATAATTTTTTTTTCACATCTTTTAACCAGCGTTGTTTTTTTAGTCAGAACATTAAATATGAGCATGTTAGGGCTAGCTTGTAAAATAATTAATATATTATCTCAATAAAACATTATACTAATAAAAATTTAATTTTAGCATATAAATTTATCCCTTGATATAAGAGAAAGTAACAGTTTTACTTGTTGTTGTTCACCATATAATATTAATTATTATTTTATTATATGATAAAAAGAAATATTGTTAAATAATGTAGTAGAATTGTTATAAAATTATATGAATTATTTTTTTTTTTTACAATATGGATTTAATATCTTTTTATGATTTGATAATATAAATAATCTATACTTACCTTTGACTTTTCCAACAAATGTAAGAAAATCAGTTCTGATTTTTATCCCATAACAAATCTTTAATGTCAAGCCTATAAATACCAAAACATATCTGTAATTAATGTCATTCTATTTCCAGCAAGCATTAATTACCTTTGATTTTCCTGTCTACTATTTCTAGTAAATAGGATGTCTTTTTATATAAGTATAGATGATTAAGAAAATAACTCTAAGTTATAACAATAAATACTATTATTACTTCTACTTAACACATACACAAAACGACTAACCTAGTAATGTGGTGTGAAATTTTATGAATACTTAGAGCATGTTTGTTTATAAAACATTTTGGTTTTGTTTGGATTTTTTGATTTGGTTTAGTTAATTTTAAAAAATGTGGTATGGTTAGTTGTTAGTGGGTATATTAAAATAATATTTAAAATAAAATAATTAAAATTAATTTGATGTAAAAGTAGGAGAGAGAGATTTGAAGTGATGGTTAGTTAAAATAATGTGAGTGGATGAATAATGAATTAAGGTTGATGTGGTGTGTATGAATGATTGATTGATATTATTTAATTATATTGATAATTTTGATGATAGTGTGGTTGAGTTAAAGTTGAGTTAAAAAAAGTGGTTGAGTTAAAATATTAAAAAAAAATTGGAAAATTTCGTAAACAAACATGCTCTTAGTTTTATACCCACCGAAAGATTTATTGAGTAGTGTGGACTGACATTTAATTTGTTTGTTATTTTGTTACTTGTACATACAAAAAGATTTACCTAGTAATATGAAACGATCCTAATTGATATGCATGAATAACTAAAAGTTCATAATTTATCATGAACAAATATTGTGACAATTATATGTTCTTAATAATAATAATATATATATGTGTGTGTATATATAAAAGAAAAAAAAGTCCCAACTGCTAGTTTACTGTTTTTACAACGGCTATTTACCACTCTATATATACAACTACACTTTATATATCAACACACATTCCAAACTCTTAAAATATATAATTTTCTCAAAAGAAAAAATGTGAAGGAAAATGAAGTTGCTATATGATAATTTGCCTATAAAAGGCAAGTCTTTTGTAGCAAAATGAGTGCAAACGGAAAGAAGAAATAAATTCAGTACAATCAATATCTGGTGTTATCGCTTCCTCCATATCCATAACAATAATTTATTACATCTTCTTTAACCATAAATCTTTTGTAACTTATGTGTGTGCATATATATTGTTGATGGTGCGTCGCCAACGATTACATATTACTGTACTTAAGGAAGTTTAATCAAGAATTATGAAATAATTATGGTAAAATTTAGACATGTGAGATATGAAGAGGTCGTGAGAATAATAAATGCATAAAATAAAACGAGAGACATATTTTGCATAGAGATCGGCAAGGAGAGGACTTTTCCATCATTTTATTAAAAATAGTGTATGAAAATTACAACCGAATATTTTGTATATGATATATGAGAGATCAAATGTAAAGGCGATCGTGATGATCTTTTTAGGGGATTAACCTGCGGAGACTTATGAGTGTATAGGCTTGGCTTTTATTTTATTAGACTTGGGTTTTCTTGACTTGATTGACTTCTTTTGGGCTTGAGGGCCGGTATTTATACACGAAAAAAGGTGTCGGAGCATTAAATGAGGAGTGTCATCTAGAGGCGTAGGGTGGCACCGCGTGTTTCCATGCAAAAGTTGATGGAACATGACGGGCGGTGCTACCAGCTTTATCTGGACGTGTTCAGACAGTAAAGGTGATCGTCAATATTCTCCCAAAAGCTTCTGCGAGTGATCGACAACCCTAATGCTGATCACGTGGGCCGACTGTGGAGTGATCTTTGTGGTCTTGAGCCTTTTTGTTCACATGGGTTGAGATTAGAACGTGTGCCACATCATTCCTTGGGATCGAATATTTTGGGTTCAATATCATCAGTTTTGCTATGAAGCTAACAGTTGGCTCCATAGTGGAGTCAACTTTCTATATACAACAAGTAAATCATACCATATTAATAAAATTATTAATATTATTTAAGTAATCGGAGAATATGGTATGATTTACAAATTGTATTTCTTGGCTCCACTATGGAGCCAACTGTTGGATTCATAGCAAAACTAACAATATATATATATATATATATATATATATATATATGTCATTTTAATATAGTTACTTGTTAAAAAAAGCCAATTGGTATATGTTTATGGTAAAATGAATTAATTAAGGTGTGATTGAGCAAATATTATTAAAATAAATCTATAGATTATGGAGAGATTCATGCCCACATGAGCACACTAATGCCACATGAAGCTAAGGCTATGTTTGATGAGTCTAGCTGATAAGTTAGCTTATAGCTTTTAAGTGAATTTCGAGCTTATAGCTAATGGCTGAAAAGCTAGTTTATATGATAAAAGTGTTTGGTAAAATTAACTATAAGTGTTGTAGCAAATTATTTTATTTTTTTACCGAGAACCGAATCGAAGGATTCGTTCCCCGGGTCGATCTCTCGAGGAAGACGGTTCGGTATTTAGCGTTGGTCTTGATCACACACGAAAAGAAAATAAGTCCTAAACACTCTAATCACGATTGATTTGGGGAATCAACTAAAACAAGCTAGAACTAGAAAAACAATTTAAAGAAATAACAATTAAATTTCTAGAGAAAAAGAAGAAGTTATAGGGGTCGGAAAATCTCATCAAGTCTTAAACTATGTTGAACGCTTATTTGTTCGGTTACGAGATTAAACAAGCCTACACGTCTAGAGGGTTATGCTCAATAACTCTTCGTAACAAGAGCACAAACATAAACGATAAATTCATTCAAACAAGCAACACATAGACAATACTTGTACGAACATGTCTATTCTATACGAGCCTAAATCGATCGACGTCTCCCCTCTCGGTTCTAAACGTCGATTAACTAGGTTAGAATGGTGATCAATCAACTAACCATATAATTCACACAACTCGTATAGATTGAACAAAACATATTCCTCATAATTCAAAACAAGAATCAAAATCCCTAACCCTAGGTGAATGGATTACCTCATGCTTAGATTCAATTTCATGTTAATCGGAATTAAGAAAATAAAACCAATCAACATAATAAAATAGAATTGAAAAACTTACAATCGGATTAAGAGTTGTAAGATTTCAATCCAAATATCTTTGTGTCCAACAATCCAAGTATGAGAGAAAAAAAAAAAAAAAAGTGGAGAAATTTATCCTAACAATATTGAGTTTTTGGAGAGAAAATTTGAAAGGAACGATCTTGGGGTTGTCCCTTAGGTCTGGGGGGTCGTTTTTATATATAGAGCTCGAAAAACGGAGCTAAAACGAGTAAAAACGGAGAAAAATAAAAACAGGGTCGAACAGGTCGCGACTCGCGAGTCTGACGGGTCGTGGGGTCGCGCAGTTGGTCGGAGGCTATGTTAAAGTCGCGAGTCGCGACTTTTCTCTCGCGAGTCGCGACTTTGTACTGTACTGCGCCATTTTACGTTTCGGGGTCGTTTGGGCTCATTCGAATTCGGAATTGAGTTTCGTTTTTTGCTACGCGTCGCTAACGAACCCATCTATCCAATTGTGCTCTCGAAACCAACTTTTCCTGAAGATAAAATTCGCCCGAAGCTCCCGACCTACACACCAAAAACGACAAAACACGAAGAAAACCGGGAAAACAAACGAAAAAATACCTAAAGACTCAAAATAAAGAAAAACACATAATAAAACACGAAACAAACTAAAAACTAAGGAAACGATCTAAAACGGGGGATAAAGAAAAGTAAAACGAGCACGAAAAATGCAACAAATATGGGACAAACAGTAAGCTAACTAAAATAAAAATTTCAATGAACTTATTTGAAAAGCTAACCAAGAAATCTTATGAGATAAGTTTGAGATTTTTAAAGAATTCGTTCTACCAAACCAAACTTATTTGAATAGGCTAACTATATGCTTATCAAAGACAGTCTAATTAAGCAGCATCCTAAAGTATGTAATCATGTTCAATATGCTTATTATAAAGCGTATAAACCTACCACTTAGATTCATTAAATAATATAAAAGGGATAACAAATAATGTAATATTTTTCTTGTGGTTAACCTGCAAAACTTCATAATCAAGAGCAATCACTCAGTACAATAACATGAGGGAGAGAAAATAGTTATTTACTCTCCGTTCTGAAGACTAAATAAGTTTTTCACACCGCTAGATTATAAATTATAACTTTTTGAAATAGTGAAATGCATTATGATGCGAATCATTCGCATAACCTTTGCATTTCCGGGATGAAAAAGATAAATTGTTAGCAGGCGGGGTGAAAAATTTAATAATCTTTAGGTCGGGATATTGTCCCTAACTAATATGTAATATTTTTCTTCTCCTTTTGTGGTTAACTTGAAAAACTTGAGAATCAAGAGCAATTACTCAGTACATTGCACATGCCTACCCCGACATGGGCGAACCACTCGTACCCAAAGACCCCTACAAGATGGCCATTGTCTCCGTATGGACAGAAGTCGGGTCACAGAGATTTGAGGTTGTAGCCTACAAGCTGATATACGAGCTCGTCATAAAACCCAAGTTAGGCAAGGTCACCAACCACGGTGTAGTGGACCAGCACCAGGAGAAACTAGCTCCGGTTCTTGATATCTATGAGACTCGTTTGTCGATTTCCAAGTATTTAGGCGGAGACGAGTTCAGCCTGGCGGACTTGCACCACATCCCGATTGTGTACGATCTGTTGGGGACTGAGATTAAGGCCCTGTTTGATGCCAGGCCCAAAGTCAGCGCATGGTGTGACGATATATTGGCCCGGCCCAGTTGGCAGAAGGTCGTGCAAGCCATGCAGATCTGATCTGATCGGCCCATTAAGGACCCAATTTGGAGTTCCCTGTTGGTTCTTTTGGTTATGGAGGTGATAATTTATTTTTATGAACTGAAAGTTTTTGCATCTCCAAATAAACAAATGGTTGTTTGTTGTTTAATTGGAATTCAGATTCATGTTCCAAAATTTACTTGCTTGGTTTCCAGAATCATGTAGCCACATTTTAACTTCAGTACAGTTCCAAAAGTCGAACCAAACATACCTGCGGTTGAAAATTAAGTTCCACAAATCCATCTCCTTACTTCTTGCTTTTTGTCAGTAAGCCTTTCCATTTTTGACATAAAATGACACCAAAAAGAACAGAAAGAAAAGCCACCATAGCTCCATTTGCAGAAAGTCTAAATCCAGCCCACCTTGAATAATTTGCACTCGCAAGAGGCTCAATAAAAACTCTCAAAAAATGCTATTTGTTTTTCCTGCATTCTTTTTATTCAATTTCATCAAACATAAATGAACTACAAACAATTAATCACGAGCACCTTATTGAACTCGTCCAGCCATTTTCATCAACAAATTCACCTCAAAAACGAAACGCAGATTCAAACACAAAGCCAACACTCACATCAAATTATCCCCCGATCTAATTTAATAGAATAGCATAACAATAAAATGAAGGAACTAACTGAACAAATTAAATTATACACAGCACACGCTTTGTATAATAACTACACGCTTTGACAATCAACAATTTTGTACACTCACATACAAAAATATATCAATTTATTATTACGTGAAAATAGCCAATTATTTCGCTGTCAACTCCAGTGTGTTAGCTAATAAATAAATAAATAATGAATAGTTGAGCTGAAAGGAAGATTGTTTCGAATATAAAGCCCACGTGACCTTTCCATCGAAGATGAAAAAGATATTAGGCCCAAACGTTATGTAGGTGTGCTAATTGGAGGCCCAATGTAGATGNGAAAATAGGGAGCCTCACCCCCATTTTCCACGATAGTCAGGATCGAACCCCTGACCTCTGGCTTCAAAGGGAGTTTCACCCTCCACCATCAACCAGTTGTCCTCACGCCCTGGAGGCGCCCAATGTAGATGCTCTCTTTCGCATAATTATCACTTCAAAAAATAAAGTCTTAATCACTTTTTTTTTTTTATTAAATTTGCCAGTCTTAATAAAAAAAATTAATCTAAAAACATGTAATTAATTTTTTTAAAAAAATTACCTTCAAATAATGTCAAAATTGCAATTTCACTGTTGACAATAAAAAGGTGTGCGTGCGTCAAAAAACCAAACGTCGATATTTATGTGTCTTCTCTAATCAATGTATAGGTTAACAATGGCCGTGTGTCATTACTAAAAATAAAAATAAAAAGAAAATTTATAATTACGACTGATATTCTTATTTCACATTCCTAAAACTTCAGAAGTCTCATGCTTTTTTGATATGTTCACCCTTAATTCATTTTCTCAGTGCTGTGTTTGAACATGTTGGAACTCACTCTCTATTAAGGTTCACTAGTGAGTTAAGAACTTGAAATTCTTCCAAAAAAATTCCCAAATATTACATATATAGGTTATGAAGAGTCCCAATACTCTTATAAGGTGGTGTATGTTTTCCTTATATATTTTAAGTTTAAATTCTCGTTCTTTCACTCTTCACGTCAAGCAACGAGTCAAGCATATAAACCCCTAATAGTCAAATATGTTGATGCCTCATTCCACATCTAGTAGTGTGCTTTCATAAGTGGTCGCCGTACTTCTGTTTACTATACGGCATAATAAACGTGTTAGAATTATTTATTATTTGTAATGCAAGTAAAATACAAACATACATATTTATATATGTGTGTAATTATGACCCATCATTCACGTCATTGATACCTAAGCTCATGAACGAAAAAATCGGTTAAATTATCAAAATCTAAAAATTACATTTATTAAATTGCAAGTAAATTAAATATCGTAATTTATTTTCTTCTTTTTCCTTTTATAGTAACAATGCACAATGCGACTTTTGTAACGTTTGAGATAGTTTGTCAAATTGCACCCAATTATTTACATAGTTAATCCAAGATTAACTCACTTATTCAATAAAATCTAAAAACTTTATTTCTAATCGCCTTCTAAAATGTCATCTCGAAAATAAATAAATTAATACCATGAAATCAACATCGCGCATCTGGTGTAGTGGTATCATAGTACCCTCCCACGGTACTGACCGGGGTTCGATTCCCCGGATGCGCATTTTCATTTTTTCTTTTTAATATTTTTACATATTTTTTTTTTTACTCCAACAGAGAAACCATATGACCGTCACCACCACCGCCATTGCCGAGAAGCTCCTCCGCCTCCTAACCACTTCCTGCAAAACCCAATCCCACGCGCGCCAAATTCACGCGCAGCTCATCCTCCACAACCTCTGCTCCAACGCCGCCGTCGCCCACCGCTTCATCGCCGCCTGCACCTCCTTAAATCTCCTCAATTCCGCCGCCTTCCCCCTCTACACCAACAGCCGCTCCACCTTCATCTGCAACACCCTAATCAGAGCCTTCTCTCACTCTACCGACCCCCAGAAATCCCCCTTGATATACGCCCGCATGCGCAGGAACTCAACCCCAGCGAACCACTACACTTTCCCCTTCGTGCTCAAGGCGCTGGCGGACTTGAAGCTGACGAAAGAGGGAAAATCGGTGCACGTGCAGGTAATCAAATTGGGTTTTCTGAACGATGTTTATGTTGGTAACTCGTTGCTGAATCTGTACGTTGCCGGCGGGAATATGTGTTCGTGCGGGAAAGTGTTCGACGAAATGCCCCTGAGAGATGTAGTCTCGTGGACCGTCATGATCTCTGGTTTTAACGAAGCTGGTAAATACGATGACTCGTTAATCACGTTCGAGAGGATGAGAAGCCATGGCGTGATGCCCAATCGAGTAACGGCCGTGAATGCCTTAGCTGCCTGTGCTGGTCATGGGGCTCTGAATATGGGCCTTTGGATTCATGAGTATGTGAAAAGTAGCCGTTGGGAGATGGATTTAATCTTAGGCACAGCATTGATCGACATGTACGGAAAGTGCGGGCAGATAGAAAGCGGGCTGCTCGTTTTTCACCAAATGCCCGAAAAAAACGTGTGCACTTGGAACACGGTTATTAAAGGGCTAGCTCTATCCAAGAATGGGAAAGAAGCTATCAAGTATTTTCTCAGAATGGAGAAAGAAGGGGCCCGGCCCAATGAGGTGACTCTGATTGCAGTTCTTAGTGCGTGCGTGCAATCGGGCCTCTTGCATATGGGCCAACTCGTTTTTTCTGCATTGTCTAACGGGAAGTATGGGTTTTCGCCTAACGTGAAGCATTATAGCTGCATGATCGATCTTTTGGTGCGTTGCGGGTGTTTGGACGAGGCTGTTGGGTTGATTAAAGAGATGCCGTTTGAGCCGAGTGTGAGTATTTGGGGTGCTTTGCTTTGTGGGTGTAGAGCTTTGGGGGAGTTTGATTTGGGTGAATTTGCGGCTTTGAAAATGGTGGAGTTGGAGCCTGGGAATTTCGGTTATTATGTTGTGTTATGTGATTTTTATGCGGAAAATGGAAAATGGGATGATGTGAAGAGGGTTCGGAAGTTGATGAAAGAGAGAGGACTCGAGAGGGATAGTTTGCAATAGAAACACAGTGCTTGGTTTGTGACTGTTTGAATTGTTTTATTCTTTTGGTTGTGTGGCTAAATTTTTTTTTTTTTTGGGCTTAGCTGCAACTGGAAATGGGAAGTATGAAAAGTATGATGATTTATTATACACATCTTTGTACCATTGTGAGAATGAGAGTGGAAGCTCTACTTCAAATGGAAGAGCCAATTTTGTTATACCTCATTCTAAGCTTCAAAAGTATTTCATCTAATTAGCATATTGAGATTCAGAGGTTTCTGAATGTTGATTCTAATAGAGTTATTGGATAATGTTCTGAATCTTTCATGGAAAGTTCACCCTTTTAGTATTTTTTTTGTCTCAGCTATGAAGAATTCTTTACCGCTTTTTGAGATGATCGGTCTTTTAAAACTGGCCAGTGGCTGCTTGTACAGCTGCCGGCAGCGATGGCTGGCTGCCGGCGAAATATTCCGGCGGTTGCATTTTTGTACAAAATAAAAATATGAAAAGTGACAGTAAGTGTATAAGATATGAAAATAATATAAAAATACAAAAACCAGCAAAAACCTGAAAAACTCCTATAATGGGTTCACTCAAGACCACTAAACACAAAAACATACAAAAGTAATAGATTGTGTTGTATATAGATTTTTAATTAGTTTCGTACATTAATTACTATTATTTTTTTTTTTTACAATTTAATAATATTTATTTATTATCTATATATATCGAAGGGATTTTAATTTTACATTCAGAGTGCATATATAAAATGGAAATAATCCTATCTATATGTAGGAAAACTGCATATGACATGTAGGAAGACAAAAATTACAATAGCATCTCATTCAATATTTCAATCATTTTATTCTTATATTCCAATTAATTTGTCCTCTTATCAATTAGAGTATACTGTGTATTTTTCCTGGGTATAATTTGATTCGTTACTCTAAAATGCTTCTACACAACTAACCAGCATCTTCAAAGGCCACAGCTCACAACAAAAGGGGACTGATTCTAAAGCAAACATCGCCCATCTTATCTGCAATCTGTTAAGTTATGGTGCATGGCTCATTTATTAGAAATGAAAACAAAAAAAGTTAACAAAATATCAAGTTAGGAATACAGCCATCAATCAACTCACAACTATAATCACATCAACACACCACAAAGTGCAAAAGAATATATCCTATATCACTTTAACCACAGCTAATAACTCACTACTCACATGTCCATATCCAAAAAAATAAAAAATTAAAAGCCTTTATTCTCTTGTTTATGTTCCTATAAATTTGCATCAAGATTTGCAAGCCATCAACAGATATTCTAATAACTCAGGCTCTATAGCAAACCAGAACAACTACTTGCAAAATGAAGCCTCAAAATTTGGGTGGAGAAAATTCTTCATATAAAAAAATCAAACGATGTTTTGGGGAGAAATTCAGACAGACGCGTGAAAATTTTGTCATGTCGAAAGCATATTGTAGCGGGAATTCCGTGTCTAGAGAGATCGAAAAACGGAACAAGAGATGTGGGTTTGAAGATCCCATGAGAACCATCATGTTTTTGGGATTTTGGAGCCACACTTGAAATTGCTCATCTATTGTTACAAGTGTGTGCAAGTAATTAAATTAAGAGCTCATGAAGTAATTGTATGCTATAATGGTGATTTTCTAGTGTGCAAACTCTAATAAAGGTTATCTTATCTTCTCAGAAAAATCAAGTGTCATGATGTATCATATAGAATTGGAGAAGTAATGTGTGTGTGTTTTTGTCAAGTATAAATACTTAATTTAGTTATAGCATTGATTTATACCAGAGGAGCCATTTTTAATTTCAAATTCATTTGATAATATATGTGCATAATCCGTGGCTATAGGTGTAAACGAGCCGAGCTGATCCAAGCTTAAGCTCGACCCTTTATCAAGTCCAGCAAATAAATGAGCTTTAAGCTTAATTGACTCATTTATCAATGTTAACACGATGAGTTAAAAAAACATACAATTATTTAAAATCCCCTATTCTCGAGCCTCAATAACTCAGATCAACTCAATCCGAAACAAACTCACAACTGACTCATTTTATTTAACGGCTCGGAAAAGATAATATAAACAAAAATCTACTTATCTAAATCAAGAATGGGATATGTGGATTAAGGCTATGTTTGGTAAAACTAACTGATAATCTAGTTTATAGCTTATAAGTGATTTTTGAGCTTATAATTTATGATTTATAGTTGAAAAGCTAGCTTATAAGATAAAAGTGTGGGTAAAATTAGCTGATAAGCTAGCTGAAATAAAAATTTCAAAGAGCTTATTTGAAAAGCTACCCAAAGAAACTAATAAGATAAACTCGAGCTTTTTAAAAAAAATTGTCCTATGAAACAAAATTTATTTAAATACAAGAAACTTATAAATTAATTAAATAAGTTATAAGATAATTTATTTGTCTTTAAACTAATCTATGTATAAATAGACATTCTCATTTCAAGTGGCCTGATCAATAATAAAGCCCAATGTTACTGGACTCCTTTTGTGGTCCATGCGGTTAATATGCATACAGTTGTGATTGATTTTTAAAACAGAACGTTAAAAATGAAAAAGAAAAAGAAAAAAAAAACAAAAAAACAAAATGATGATAGGATTTGTGAAAGATATATTTTGGCATGAGTTCGAAAGATTAAGAAGTTCCTGCCATGTTTAGTAAGGGAAGTCGTTGTTACCAAAATTAGTTACTATTATATTTGATCTTATGATTTATTTACGTGTTGTAGGATATTGATGCTATAGGAAGGGAGCTTCACGCGTATGGCACATCACGAAAGAAAAGGGAAAGTTTGGATAAGTAAGGCAAGAGAATATGTGGAGAGAGAAGAAGAGTCCTTTACATGGTAGGACTTTGAGGACATGCCAAATAGAGACCAAGGATTGTGGGAGTCCTATAAGATGATATAAAAGCCGATCTTGAAGGTTGAAGGCTGCGGCTGAAACTAGGGCAATCATTTTTATCTCCTTCAAGCTTCAAGTTTCACGTTGGCTACTCGTTTCTTTTTGTTCTTGTTTCGGTTCAGTTCTTAATTGATTTGATCATTGAGAAACTGATACCATTTTGATTGTATTGCTTTCAATTATTCTGAGTTGAACTTGTTGATCATTTACACTTAGGGAGTAAGTGTGAAAAATAAGTCCACGGGACGTGGCCGGAGAAGTAATTGATAGGCTAGTCATAGTTGTGGTTAGAATAGAAGGGAGTTCTATTTTGTAAATCCAAACTATGTATTCAATAGTTATCAATGAAAGAGCTCTGAGGGGAAGTGGGATACTTCCCTGAAGAGTGTTTTAAATCTTTGATTGTCGCTTCCGCAAATTACAAACTTTACAATTGTTCGTACAACAATACAGAACACTCGGGATCATTCTATACGTTTCAATTGGCACCAGAGCAGTGTTCCTGTCTACATACGGGATAAAGATCTTTGGGACTGGGATAGGTCACCATGAGTCACGACGGACTATCCGTTTCGCGCCCTCCATTTCTTGATGGTTCGAACTATGGATACTGGAAATCCATGATGGTCATCTTTTTGCGCTCTCTGGGAAAAGGGACCTGGCAAGTGGTGGAATCGGGATGGTCATTACCGGTTATGCCGAAAGTTCCATCTGAGTCTAAAGAAGGTGAGTCCTCGGATGCAAAATCTTCAACTTCGACTACCCGTGTTCTAGTCGAAAAACCTAGAAGCATTTGGACTGATGATGAAAGGCAAGCTGAAGAAGCAAATTTTCGAGCGTTATATGCAATCATGTCGGCTGTTGATCCCACTCGTCACAAGATGATCATTCAGTGCACAACTGCACAAGATGCATGGAGGATTCTGGAAAGGCAATTTGAAGGTACAAATGCTGTGAAAACTTCGAAGCTTCAAAGGATCTCGACTGAACTCGATGAGATCCGCATGAGAGATGATGAGACTATTGATATGTACTATGCACGCTTCTGTGATCTTGTAAATCAAAGCGCAATGCTTGGAGAACATGTGTCGGAGGCAAGACAGGTGCAAAAGCTGATGAGAACCTTGCCGGACAGATTTGGGATAAAGATAACAGCATTGGAAAGTTTTCAGAGGATACAAACCCTAGGCATCGATGATCTTCTCAGTGATCTTCGCACCTTTGAGATAAATAATGGGTTCGATTCGATGAAGATAGGCAAAGGGAAAGGATTGGCGCTTAAGGCAAAAGTTCGTACCACGATTGTGGAAGAAGACGATTCGGATGAAGAATCTTTTGATGCTGATGAAATTATGAAGGCTCTTACCGTACTTACCAAGAACGTGTCGAAACTGAAGAAATTTCAGAAGAAAAGGTTCCAAGGAATCAAGTCTGGTGAAGGTGGTAAGAACTTTTTTTTTTTATTAAATTTGCCAGTCTTAATAAAAAAAATTAATCTAAAAACATGTAATTAATTTTTTTAAAAAAATTACCTTCAAATAATGTCAAAATTGCAATTTCACTGTTGACAATAAAAAGGTGTGCGTGCGTCAAAAAACCAAACGTCGATATTTATGTGTCTTCTCTAATCAATGTATAGGTTAACAATGGCCGTGTGTCATTACTAAAAATAAAAATAAAAAGAAAATTTATAATTACGACTGATATTCTTATTTCACATTCCTAAAACTTCAGAAGTCTCATGCTTTTTTGATATGTTCACCCTTAATTCATTTTCTCAGTGCTGTGTTTGAACATGTTGGAACTCACTCTCTATTAAGGTTCACTAGTGAGTTAAGAACTTGAAATTCTTCCAAAAAAATTCCCAAATATTACATATATAGGTTATGAAGAGTCCCAATACTCTTATAAGGTGGTGTATGTTTTCCTTATATATTTTAAGTTTAAATTCTCGTTCTTTCACTCTTCACGTCAAGCAACGAGTCAAGCATATAAACCCCTAATAGTCAAATATGTTGATGCCTCATTCCACATCTAGTAGTGTGCTTTCATAAGTGGTCGCCGTACTTCTGTTTACTATACGGCATAATAAACGTGTTAGAATTATTTATTATTTGTAATGCAAGTAAAATACAAACATACATATTTATATATGTGTGTAATTATGACCCATCATTCACGTCATTGATACCTAAGCTCATGAACGAAAAAATCGGTTAAATTATCAAAATCTAAAAATTACATTTATTAAATTGCAAGTAAATTAAATATCGTAATTTATTTTCTTCTTTTTCCTTTTATAGTAACAATGCACAATGCGACTTTTGTAACGTTTGAGATAGTTTGTCAAATTGCACCCAATTATTTACATAGTTAATCCAAGATTAACTCACTTATTCAATAAAATCTAAAAACTTTATTTCTAATCGCCTTCTAAAATGTCATCTCGAAAATAAATAAATTAATACCATGAAATCAACATCGCGCATCTGGTGTAGTGGTATCATAGTACCCTCCCACGGTACTGACCGGGGTTCGATTCCCCGGATGCGCATTTTCATTTTTTCTTTTTAATATTTTTACATATTTTTTTTTTTACTCCAACAGAGAAACCATATGACCGTCACCACCACCGCCATTGCCGAGAAGCTCCTCCGCCTCCTAACCACTTCCTGCAAAACCCAATCCCACGCGCGCCAAATTCACGCGCAGCTCATCCTCCACAACCTCTGCTCCAACGCCGCCGTCGCCCACCGCTTCATCGCCGCCTGCACCTCCTTAAATCTCCTCAATTCCGCCGCCTTCCCCCTCTACACCAACAGCCGCTCCACCTTCATCTGCAACACCCTAATCAGAGCCTTCTCTCACTCTACCGACCCCCAGAAATCCCCCTTGATATACGCCCGCATGCGCAGGAACTCAACCCCAGCGAACCACTACACTTTCCCCTTCGTGCTCAAGGCGCTGGCGGACTTGAAGCTGACGAAAGAGGGAAAATCGGTGCACGTGCAGGTAATCAAATTGGGTTTTCTGAACGATGTTTATGTTGGTAACTCGTTGCTGAATCTGTACGTTGCCGGCGGGAATATGTGTTCGTGCGGGAAAGTGTTCGACGAAATGCCCCTGAGAGATGTAGTCTCGTGGACCGTCATGATCTCTGGTTTTAACGAAGCTGGTAAATACGATGACTCGTTAATCACGTTCGAGAGGATGAGAAGCCATGGCGTGATGCCCAATCGAGTAACGGCCGTGAATGCCTTAGCTGCCTGTGCTGGTCATGGGGCTCTGAATATGGGCCTTTGGATTCATGAGTATGTGAAAAGTAGCCGTTGGGAGATGGATTTAATCTTAGGCACAGCATTGATCGACATGTACGGAAAGTGCGGGCAGATAGAAAGCGGGCTGCTCGTTTTTCACCAAATGCCCGAAAAAAACGTGTGCACTTGGAACACGGTTATTAAAGGGCTAGCTCTATCCAAGAATGGGAAAGAAGCTATCAAGTATTTTCTCAGAATGGAGAAAGAAGGGGCCCGGCCCAATGAGGTGACTCTGATTGCAGTTCTTAGTGCGTGCGTGCAATCGGGCCTCTTGCATATGGGCCAACTCGTTTTTTCTGCATTGTCTAACGGGAAGTATGGGTTTTCGCCTAACGTGAAGCATTATAGCTGCATGATCGATCTTTTGGTGCGTTGCGGGTGTTTGGACGAGGCTGTTGGGTTGATTAAAGAGATGCCGTTTGAGCCGAGTGTGAGTATTTGGGGTGCTTTGCTTTGTGGGTGTAGAGCTTTGGGGGAGTTTGATTTGGGTGAATTTGCGGCTTTGAAAATGGTGGAGTTGGAGCCTGGGAATTTCGGTTATTATGTTGTGTTATGTGATTTTTATGCGGAAAATGGAAAATGGGATGATGTGAAGAGGGTTCGGAAGTTGATGAAAGAGAGAGGACTCGAGAGGGATAGTTTGCAATAGAAACACAGTGCTTGGTTTGTGACTGTTTGAATTGTTTTATTCTTTTGGTTGTGTGGCTAAATTTTTTTTTTTTTGGGCTTAGCTGCAACTGGAAATGGGAAGTATGAAAAGTATGATGATTTATTATACACATCTTTGTACCATTGTGAGAATGAGAGTGGAAGCTCTACTTCAAATGGAAGAGCCAATTTTGTTATACCTCATTCTAAGCTTCAAAAGTATTTCATCTAATTAGCATATTGAGATTCAGAGGTTTCTGAATGTTGATTCTAATAGAGTTATTGGATAATGTTCTGAATCTTTCATGGAAAGTTCACCCTTTTAGTATTTTTTTTGTCTCAGCTATGAAGAATTCTTTACCGCTTTTTGAGATGATCGGTCTTTTAAAACTGGCCAGTGGCTGCTTGTACAGCTGCCGGCAGCGATGGCTGGCTGCCGGCGAAATATTCCGGCGGTTGCATTTTTGTACAAAATAAAAATATGAAAAGTGACAGTAAGTGTATAAGATATGAAAATAATATAAAAATACAAAAACCAGCAAAAACCTGAAAAACTCCTATAATGGGTTCACTCAAGACCACTAAACACAAAAACATACAAAAGTAATAGATTGTGTTGTATATAGATTTTTAATTAGTTTCGTACATTAATTACTATTATTTTTTTTTTTTACAATTTAATAATATTTATTTATTATCTATATATATCGAAGGGATTTTAATTTTACATTCAGAGTGCATATATAAAATGGAAATAATCCTATCTATATGTAGGAAAACTGCATATGACATGTAGGAAGACAAAAATTACAATAGCATCTCATTCAATATTTCAATCATTTTATTCTTATATTCCAATTAATTTGTCCTCTTATCAATTAGAGTATACTGTGTATTTTTCCTGGGTATAATTTGATTCGTTACTCTAAAATGCTTCTACACAACTAACCAGCATCTTCAAAGGCCACAGCTCACAACAAAAGGGGACTGATTCTAAAGCAAACATCGCCCATCTTATCTGCAATCTGTTAAGTTATGGTGCATGGCTCATTTATTAGAAATGAAAACAAAAAAAGTTAACAAAATATCAAGTTAGGAATACAGCCATCAATCAACTCACAACTATAATCACATCAACACACCACAAAGTGCAAAAGAATATATCCTATATCACTTTAACCACAGCTAATAACTCACTACTCACATGTCCATATCCAAAAAAATAAAAAATTAAAAGCCTTTATTCTCTTGTTTATGTTCCTATAAATTTGCATCAAGATTTGCAAGCCATCAACAGATATTCTAATAACTCAGGCTCTATAGCAAACCAGAACAACTACTTGCAAAATGAAGCCTCAAAATTTGGGTGGAGAAAATTCTTCATATAAAAAAATCAAACGATGTTTTGGGGAGAAATTCAGACAGACGCGTGAAAATTTTGTCATGTCGAAAGCATATTGTAGCGGGAATTCCGTGTCTAGAGAGATCGAAAAACGGAACAAGAGATGTGGGTTTGAAGATCCCATGAGAACCATCATGTTTTTGGGATTTTGGAGCCACACTTGAAATTGCTCATCTATTGTTACAAGTGTGTGCAAGTAATTAAATTAAGAGCTCATGAAGTAATTGTATGCTATAATGGTGATTTTCTAGTGTGCAAACTCTAATAAAGGTTATCTTATCTTCTCAGAAAAATCAAGTGTCATGATGTATCATATAGAATTGGAGAAGTAATGTGTGTGTGTTTTTGTCAAGTATAAATACTTAATTTAGTTATAGCATTGATTTATACCAGAGGAGCCATTTTTAATTTCAAATTCATTTGATAATATATGTGCATAATCCGTGGCTATAGGTGTAAACGAGCCGAGCTGATCCAAGCTTAAGCTCGACCCTTTATCAAGTCCAGCAAATAAATGAGCTTTAAGCTTAATTGACTCATTTATCAATGTTAACACGATGAGTTAAAAAAACATACAATTATTTAAAATCCCCTATTCTCGAGCCTCAATAACTCAGATCAACTCAATCCGAAACAAACTCACAACTGACTCATTTTATTTAACGGCTCGGAAAAGATAATATAAACAAAAATCTACTTATCTAAATCAAGAATGGGATATGTGGATTAAGGCTATGTTTGGTAAAACTAACTGATAATCTAGTTTATAGCTTATAAGTGATTTTTGAGCTTATAATTTATGATTTATAGTTGAAAAGCTAGCTTATAAGATAAAAGTGTGGGTAAAATTAGCTGATAAGCTAGCTGAAATAAAAATTTCAAAGAGCTTATTTGAAAAGCTACCCAAAGAAACTAATAAGATAAACTCGAGCTTTTTAAAAAAAATTGTCCTATGAAACAAAATTTATTTAAATACAAGAAACTTATAAATTAATTAAATAAGTTATAAGATAATTTATTTGTCTTTAAACTAATCTATGTATAAATAGACATTCTCATTTCAAGTGGCCTGATCAATAATAAAGCCCAATGTTACTGGACTCCTTTTGTGGTCCATGCGGTTAATATGCATACAGTTGTGATTGATTTTTAAAACAGAACGTTAAAAATGAAAAAGAAAAAGAAAAAAAAAACAAAAAAACAAAATGATGATAGGATTTGTGAAAGATATATTTTGGCATGAGTTCGAAAGATTAAGAAGTTCCTGCCATGTTTAGTAAGGGAAGTCGTTGTTACCAAAATTAGTTACTATTATATTTGATCTTATGATTTATTTACGTGTTGTAGGATATTGATGCTATAGGAAGGGAGCTTCACGCGTATGGCACATCACGAAAGAAAAGGGAAAGTTTGGATAAGTAAGGCAAGAGAATATGTGGAGAGAGAAGAAGAGTCCTTTACATGGTAGGACTTTGAGGACATGCCAAATAGAGACCAAGGATTGTGGGAGTCCTATAAGATGATATAAAAGCCGATCTTGAAGGTTGAAGGCTGCGGCTGAAACTAGGGCAATCATTTTTATCTCCTTCAAGCTTCAAGTTTCACGTTGGCTACTCGTTTCTTTTTGTTCTTGTTTCGGTTCAGTTCTTAATTGATTTGATCATTGAGAAACTGATACCATTTTGATTGTATTGCTTTCAATTATTCTGAGTTGAACTTGTTGATCATTTACACTTAGGGAGTAAGTGTGAAAAATAAGTCCACGGGACGTGGCCGGAGAAGTAATTGATAGGCTAGTCATAGTTGTGGTTAGAATAGAAGGGAGTTCTATTTTGTAAATCCAAACTATGTATTCAATAGTTATCAATGAAAGAGCTCTGAGGGGAAGTGGGATACTTCCCTGAAGAGTGTTTTAAATCTTTGATTGTCGCTTCCGCAAATTACAAACTTTACAATTGTTCGTACAACAATACAGAACACTCGGGATCATTCTATACGTTTCAATTTGGATAAACAGGTAATCTCAGCTCATGAATTGTCATCAGCAAATTTCATACGTAATGGTGAGTTATTGCCCAAACCACTATTAAAGAATAACATAAATATATGTCACAATTTTATTATTTTACAATCATATTACTTTTAAAATCGACAATCATTATACATTCACATCATATTTGGTTATCAGTTGTATTATTCTATTTCTATCATGTTAAAAATAGCTTTATCCAATATTTTATTATTTTTTATGTGTTTTTACTTTATAGTATGAAATATGAACTCAAAATAATTTAAGAGTAATGCTATATTGCCAACCTAGTATACAATTAGGTTGACAACACAAGTGAAAATATTTAAAAAAAAAAATAAAAATAAAAAAATACAAAAATAAATATTTTCACTTGTGTTGTCAACCTAGTTGTACACTAAGTTGATAATGTAACATTTTTCATAATTTTAAGCCTTCACGCGGAGCAGAGTAAATCAACTATCAAGCCGCCGCATATCACGAGGCACCGCTGGCAAATTGCAATCTGGCATTATTTTGTTATAAACAATTAAAGATAGAATTCAAAGTTATATATGATTCCAAAATAAAATAGTGAATAGTCAAAAATATGCACGTGTTTTTTCAACATTTAAATATTTTTTAAAATTTAATTTGATCAAAAGTTGCATTGTCAAATATGCGTGTGAGAGATACATTGAATGTATATATTAGTAATATTGTTGATTGTACAAAAAACGTGAGAAGAAATATGGTGTTTAAACCTTAAAGTGTGATGGGTGCTTTAGCGTCAAAATAAATAGCAAAGAATATATGTGAAGTAAAATTATGTGATAGCCATTTCCATTGCAATCCTTATAATTAATCATATTCTTTTTATTTAAATTCGTTATATACATTTAGGAACTGTAACTCTATTTGATGAATTGTTTACAGTACAACAAGGTGTAAAAAACACGTACTAAACGGAACAAGTCGCTTGTAAACTCAATTTGACTGCTTGCTCGTTTAGTTTATGAGCCAATCTCGGGTTAACTTTATAAATAAAGAATTTTGTTGATTTAAATATACATTTTTATAAATAATGATTTAATTTGAAAACATAAATAAGGGGAGTTGTTGTGAGTTATGACTTATGAGGCACTGAGGCACACAACAACCTATAGACAAGAACATTACACAAAATGAGCTGCTCGTGAACTCGACTCATCTCGCCTCGTTGCTTATTTAGTTAAGGAATCGAGCTAAACTTTTTAAGGCTCGTTATTAATAAAATTTTTTGTTATATAATTACCTATTTTTTTTTATATAATTTATAGATGTTTTAATATAATTAATTAAGTTGATTAAGGCACGAACTCGTTTATCGTCTCAATTTCATTTACAGCTCTACTCTACACATACCCACATATACTAACACATTGAACAATAGAACTTATTTAAAAAATGTTGATAGCTAGGAGCTAATATATATGCTCAAATGGTATAAGCTCAATTTCATTCATATAATATTAAGAAAAGTATATATACACATAAATTTTCCCACAATAAAGTTTGGTGAGATTGATTCTTAAAAAAACATGTATATAATTTTACCAAAAGTAAAACAATTTTATTTCGGTGCTTTTTAATTTAAGTCTAGGAAAATAATAATAATAATAATAATAATAATAATTTAGTCTAGTAGTCTCTGCATGCCACTCAGTGGCAAAATGGTAAATTAACGGGGAACCGCAACCACGTTAAAACGACCGCCAGCCCCTACTCAGTGAATTAAAATCGAAGCTTCAAAAAATCGAAAACAGAGAAAATCAAAAGAAACAAAAAGAAAAAAAAAAAGTCAAGGAAATTAGATGGTGAAATCCGACCAACTCCGCCTCCTCATCGCCGCCGCGGCTGCGGCCTTACTCTCCATCGCCGCTGCCGCCGCCGCCTCCGGAGAAGACTTCGGCTGGATCCCGATGAAAAATCCGGCGACCTGCCGTGGATCGATGGGGGAGTGCATGGCGGACGTCGCCGGCGAGTTCGAGATGGATTCCGAGATCAACCGGCGCGTGCTGGCCACGAGACGGACCTACATAAGCTACGGCGCGTTAGTACCGAACCAAACCCCCTGCTCGCGGCGGGGCTCTTCGTACTACAACTGTCGGGCGGGCGCCCAAGCGAACGCCTATCAGCGATCGTGTTCCACCATCACCAGGTGCCGGAGATAAAATCCAATTAATTTTCCGATCTAATAATTACTTTCGCCCTTTCCTTTTTTTTTATTTTTTTTTTAATTTATTTGATGTTTGGGTGTGAAGATACAATTATACAAAACTCTATTTGTTAAAATATGGTTTACTTTTTTCCTTCTTTTTATTTTTAATTATTTCTGTTAAGTTTTGTTACTTTTGATTTTGTTAATGTGTTGTGAATTTTTATTCAGCTAGTTTCGTAAGAAATTGATAAACATCGTTTTTTGGAGCTAAATTAAAAATTTATCAAGTACTCTACGTAACATTAATACAAGATGGCTAATTTAATCCCACCCTATAATCAATCAATCCTATCATATAGTTAAAACTGTTAATTCAATTTTCATCCATAATTCGACTAGTTTGGTCAAAATTGTTAATTTAATCTGCTATATGCTAATTAATTCAATTAGTTTAAATGAGATGTTTGATATGAATAAAACATTAAATTAGATGTTAACTCAATCAGCGTAAGATATATGTTTGCTCAAAATTAAACAGCTAATAATTATTAATTGATCACTCTCCATAATCAATTAATCCAACCAATTAGCCAAATATACTAATTTAATTAGTTTAAATTAGATATTTGAGGTGTAATGGACAACTAATTCTTTATCAAATACTTTACATAATCCGTTAATCCAATCAACTATTCAAAATTGTCAATCTAATATGAATTATCCACAATTTGCTAATTTAATCAGCTATTGACTCCCCAAAAAAATTGACGTGATATCTTATTGATCAATTCCATGTTCATAGTTTAAATTTTCTCACAAAAAGAATAAAAAATCTTAAGGTTTATTTATGTTACATATTTGCAATGATCAGCAAACACGACATATCAAAGCTTATTCGTGTGGATTTTCGTTTCCTATGAATGTCGGTGGCAAAAGGTCTCATTAATCATATGACTCGTCAACTTATCGTGGAAACCAGTTGTCTTGATAATTTGGTTATTGTCTTCAGAATTCCAAGTGCATTTGTAGTTATGAAGGTTAATTGGTCAAGAGAGAAGAAAAAAGACTCGTCCAAATTTGTTGAAATTCAAACAAATGACAGATAGGAATGAAAATGATGGAAATTTCACATGATGAGAAGATTTTCTAAGATTAGTAAACCTTAGGAAATCAAGACTTTGGTTTCTTTTTTATTTAAATAACAACAAACCAACCTACCTACCACTGTCCTCAACAATTTAAAGGAAAAATATTATTATTTTTATTGTTATTGTAATTTCTATTCTTGTTATTTCAAGCGTTGAGTCATTCAAACGTTTTATAATTTTCTCACAATTTTTCGGATATCGGAGTCATGTTTGTTTGCTGGTGCCGCCGCCGCTGAAGGCGGCAGGTGGCCTATTGGGTGGCATTGGAGTTCGGCGCCAATTGAGATTGGCTGGACTTAGTCAACTATCAAAGAATGAAACTATTGATTTCATCAAACGCAACGTTTCAGGTTAAATGATGGGCCATATTTGATAATTGGATATATCGTTGGTACTCAAGTAAAGAAGAAGCTTAACTAATGACTTTTTTTGTCGGCTCGTTAAGACTCGAGCTCAATTAAGGCTAAAAAATATTAAAACCTTTATGTAACTTTTTATAGTTCAACTTAAATTTGACTCGTTTAGTTAATTAGTCGATGTCGCTTGACTCTATAAAGGCTCGAGCCCGAGTTTGAATTTGACTCATTTACACATCTAATTTTGAAACAACACGTACATATGTAATTAATGAATCGATCTCGAGTTCACTCTATAAAGACTCGGATCGAAATTTGAGCTTGACTCATTTACGTATCTGATTTTGAAACAACACATATTCTCGTGATTCGATAGTATTTTGAGCACTTTAAGTTGCCATAAATACACATGTATCATTAAACAAAAAAAAAAAGGAAATTAAAGTTCAAATGTAAAAAATACACACTAAAAGCTTGTGTTTTGTAACTTTTGTATATATTACACTAGCCTAACAATTAGATAGAAGTCTATTTGATAAATATAATATTTTAATTAGAGCATGTCATACTTTAACAAAACAATTTAAACATAAGTATATCATAAAACATAAAAGAACATCTAATAGATTGTTCTTTAATTTTTATTGTCATGTGTTATAATAAATCTTAAATGGGATTCAAAATGTCTAGAAGTTATTTTAGACATAGAAATATTTCTATAAAAAAGAGTATCTCTAATGGTTAATTTTTAAATCGATAGGATACACACGAACTACGTGATTATCCTTTAACTTAGTCAACAACCTCCCCAAATAGCTGGCCAGTCACCGCATCCACCTCTCTCCACGTGTCCACATCATCTCAACTTCCGGCCACCTCACCGCCACGTGTCCTCAGATAAAACGCGCTCCCCACTACAAATTCCGCCGTGCCCAAACTCCAAACCACAAACCAATGGCTTCCCAAGACCTCAAACGCCGACCCCAACCCGAATCGGAAACCCGAACCCACCAACAACCGAGCGCCACCGCTTCCCGCCGCGGAAAATCCTCCTCCACCGTCGCCGCCTCCGGCCGCGGCCTCCGGTCTCTGACCGCCGCCCTCGCTTTCCCCCTCTCCCTCGCCGTCCTCGACATATACCTCTTCGGGTCGGCCGCCCGGAAACCCTTCTACTTCCCGCCTTTGTGGGCCCTACACCTGGCCTGCCTGGCATCGGCCCTCCTGTTGGGCCTGTCCGCGTGGCTCGTATGGGCCGACGGCGGGTTCCACCGCAGGCCCAACGCCCTGATGCTTTACCTGGGCCAGCTCGCGGTTGGGCTGGGCTGGTACCCGGTCGTGTTTCGGGCCGGAGCGGTTTGGGCCGGCCTGGGCCTGTGTGTGGCCCTGTTCGGGGCGATGATCGGGTGTGAGAGGGCGTTTGGGAGGGTGAACCCGATAGCGGGGAGTTTGGTGAGGCCATGCCTTGCGTGGGCCCTGCTGATTTCGGTTTTGAATGTTAGGCTTTTGTTGTATTAGTGATTAGTGATGGTTTTTGGTTGGTTCGAGTGTTGAGTAACTTCGAGTTTGTATTGATGGTGTGCAGAAATATATGTGTTAATTGGATTGTGGAGATAAAAATCTGCACGTTTTCTTGATTTTTTTCATGTGTGTTTGTAACACCTTTCATATGTGATGTGTTATGATGGCCAAGATAATTATAAATAAATGAAGAACAAACCAAGCTTTCTGCTGCATCTAACTGCAAATCAGATTTACGAGGAAAAAAGTAACAAAACCATTTCTTTTGGATCGATTTTTTAAACAATATTCTAATCTGTGAAGTGGAGTAAGACAAAGGTTCAACGGTTAGACAGTGCATTGCACACTTATTTTTTGACATACATTCCATTCATACTCTAAAAACAGTCTAGGCAGGCATATGTTTTCAACCTATATACATTCACTCCATACTTTTTCAATCCATACACATTTAACTAACTCCAAAAACAATATAAGTATGACGATTCACTCGAAAAACATCTTAAGTATAACAATTCATACTCTAAAAACTAACATAAACACAACATAAGTATAATAACTCATAAACAAAAGTAGGTTTGAAAACATAATATAAACAACAGTATGCGATAAGGTGAGTGAGTAGAAGATTGGGTGAAAATGGTGAAATGTGATAAGGTTTTGTGGTATGTTGGTTTCTGAAGGTCTGTTGCTTTTGCAGTCTGCTACAAGGGTGTTTTGTGGGTTTTTGAGGCTTTCATTTTGAAATTTCTCAATTTTTTTTGGGTTAAAAATGTGAATAATCAAATAAATATATTTTCAATTTTGGGGTAAAATTATATATTTGCTATATATTTGTAATTGTATGTTTATTGTTGTAAATGAGTTGAACTTGAGTTGACCTAGAACATTAAGGGGGCGATTGTATACCATTTGTACAGGAAAAAAACCAATTAAAACTCAAATTTAACTCAACTCCACTATCTCCAATATTATTAATATAATTAAATAATATCAACCAATCATTCTTATACATCACATCAACTTTAATTCACTATTTATCTACTCACATAATTTTAACTAACTATCACTTCCAATCATTTTCTCATATTTTTACATCAAATCAACTTTAATTATTTTATTTTAAATATTATTTTAATATATCCACTAACAACTAACCATACCACATTTTTTCAAACTTAACTATAGTTAAAAAATAACCAGTTTTTTACTAGTTGAATTCATATACAATCACTCCCTAACCAGTCAGCAATGGAGTGGTTAGATTTATTTATTAATATTAATGAGATAAACCGTGTCTTAATGACCTAAACTCGAGCTTTAGCTAATTAAATTATATAAAAAAAAGTAACTTCTAAATATTAACGAGCTGAGTTGAGTCCGAATCACTAACTAGACGAGCTTTCACCAAGCACCTCCTCCGGTCGTTTATCAAACAAATTTAGACAAACTCAAGTCTTTACGAGTCGATTTCGAGCCCCTCGTCTTTGACAACTTATAAGTTTCAAAATAATATGCGCTCATTATATATTATAATTTTTGTAATTAACATTTTATTTTATATTTTTTTTTATTATTCAAATCAATTATAACTCGCAATTATTTGATTACATAGTAACTTTGTTATTAACTTATATATATTTTCNTAATAAAAGATTGCATATGTAAAATGAAAAAATAATTATATACAGTAATACAAAAATAGTTAAAATTAATAAATTAAGTATAACTGACATCGCAAATAGAACTATAATTGGCCTTGTTTGTTTAATGGCTTTTTGTCAAATTTCAGTGTTTTGGACTTTAGCGTTTTTGACTTTTTCTTACCCAATTAAAAAATGATGTTTGGTAACTAGCTTTTTAAATTTAGCTTTTTTATCAAGTCCGCTAAAAATGAAAACGCTAGGTAGAGGAGCGTTTTCAATTAGCTTTAGGAGAAAAAAAAAAATTAAAAGTCACAACTACCCCTTATCTTCTCTAACTCGGCGACCGATCTGCCTCCACTCGTCGGTGGCCAAGTCTCAAGCTCCCCGTCTCCAACTCGGCGCCTCCCTGACGCCTGCCTTTTGTGCCCCCACTTCCAGCCACACAAGCGCCAACCACTCCGCAACACAAAAGCCGCCACGAGCATCACCGTCTGCCCACCATCTGTTTCTGCTTGACGCCAACCTTCCGGCAACCCCTAGTCGCACTCAAGTATTAGCCGAATTTTAAATTTTTTATTTTGACATTGGAGGTTTTAATTAGGCTTCTTTAGTTTGGTACGGCCTCTCGAATTTTTTGAATTGATTTTGGATGAATCCATCAGTTATACATAGGTTCTGATGTTAAATTGGTTGAATTAATGGGGCCTATAGACAATAATTCAATAAGTTGCTACCATGTATTTTATTATTACGATTCATAATTTGGATTTATTTTATTTACTTTGGAATTAAATTTACATGCCCTTATATTTGATTTATGTTGATTGGATTCTATGTTAGAATCTGATTTATTTGTTGAGAACTCTAACTCAGAACATGAATTATTTGCTTGGAATTCAACGGCTTAAAGATGAGTTGTTTGTGTGACCAGTGATGTGAATTATTATGATTAAGCCATGCATTATTTGATGGCATATATATGAGTCAGGATAAAGATTGATTATCCATTTAAAGGTATTGAGTTATATGTTCGGCACTTCATGTTTAATTTAAATGAATCAATCTACACAAAAGAGATCACTTTGGCAACATAAGTGTTTAGTTTTGTTGGTTTTGCTGTAAGATTTTTTATTTTGCTGTGAATTTTGTTTAAATTTCATTGATTTTAATTGGAACCGTGTGTTTTGTGTTGGTGTAGCTTTGAATATCTGTGTGTATTTAAAGTGAAATGACTTATAAATCTGCAAAACTTATCTGAATTTTGTGATCTGTCCATTAAACTAATTCTCCTAATTTTTTATTTATGAAGTTGCTAAGACTCGTTTTATGCATCATAAGAACTCTTCAGAGGTACAATTTTTGTTTTATATATCCTATCTTTCATTAAGTACATCTATGTTTCATCTTTTGTTTTTTAGGAGTTAAATATGTTTTCTTTTTGTGGATCCTGCTGGCTTTGAAGCTTAATTTACCTGATTTATTCTTTATCAATTTTCAGCTATGAAGTTCAACAAGGCTGACTTGTAGTTTTGGATGATTAGAAGGAATACAATAATAAAATGTTTTTCACTGTTTGTTTCTCAAATGATAATTCATGCTGAATACTCATGGCTTTTGAGTCTGGTTTTTGAAGGTTTTAGCATAATTTTTTTGTGATTTATGTTTTGTTTGTTTCATAACTTTAGAGTGGATTATTTTTCCTAAGAAAAAAAAAGAACCAGAGTATAATTTTTGGGTTGTATGATAATTTTGGATGTTTGTCTATTTATGGTTTATTTTGGTATATGTACTTGCTACAATTAACTTTGTTAATATATAAAGTTACTTTTCTAAAATTGATATTATTTTTTTTTTTATTCTAATTTTTGCAGGAATGGAAAGTAATGACGTGAAAATTATGCAACTTCTTCTACATGAACAACAATATCTTCAGTATTTAGAGTACTTGAAAGAAGAAGATGAATTTTGGCAAACGTTCGTAATAACATAGCGTCNTTATATGACCTAAATTTATCTATTTGATTGAGAAATATTTTTATTTTATTATTATTTATATTTTTATTATATTTAAATCACTTTAATAAATATTTAAAATACTAATTATTTCTATTTCTTAAATAATTATATATTCAACATAAATTAAAATGATAAAGTATGTTGATGTCCTTATAAGTAATTTTACATGTTAACAGCTAACTGAAATAGCTAATTTAACCAAATAATTTTTTACAAACCGCTAACACAATCAGCTGGTCAAAACAGCTAATACAATTTACTGGTCAAAACACAGCTGATTACCATACAAGGCCAAAAATATTTTTGTTGGTAAACAATAGAGTCCTTTGCATAATTTAATTTTTGTTAGTAAAGCTATTAATTTAATTTACTTATTTATTTATTATTTGTTTGTTTAGATTTGGCAAAGATACACTCCTGACCATCCTGTAAAAGCCAAGAGGTTAAAATCCTTACCTATTTCACACAATTATGTGTTTATTTTTGTATAAAAGTGTTTCTCATCTTCTGCTCACATTTTTATAATTTTTTCTTCGTTCCCTTCACTCGACCTCTTCATCTCTCTCTATCTCTCACTCAATGGGACCGTAATCTGTATCGTAAATAAGAAATGAACGCAAAATATTTATTCATTCGATGAATCTCCTTGAATAAAATTCTTCGATTTTCAGTTTGAAAAAATCGAAGTTTGTTTCTGTGTTTTTGTTAATTGTTAGATTAGATTAGATTAGATCAGAAAACATGGTTGAAACGCGGCGGAGCTCGTCTTCATCGAAGCGCCCCCTCTCTTCACCGTCGTCTTCTCTGCCCAATGGAAAGCGATCTAAGGTTAGGGTTTTGTGGTTTTTGTGCCTTTTTCTGTTATCATATTTTTTTTTCTTTCGTGGTTTTCGAATTTGGGGTTCTTTTTTGGCGCACATGCAGGCGGGCGATGCGTCTTCATCTTCTACGAACAATTCTCCGTCATCGGAAGAAGTTGTTGGCAGGTCGGCGGCCAAAGAATTGGATAGTGGATCGGCTGATCTGGCTAGCGGCGGGGAGAACCAGTCGGCTGATGTGGCGCCGGAGAAAACGCCCGAGGCGATGGCAGCAGGTGATCATTTATTTTTTTCTTTGTAACTTGCTTGGTATTTTGTTTTACTTTAGGTTTATTTTATTCATTTTTTTTTTCGCTCGATGATGGCTGTGGATGCAGTTGATTCTACTGTTGAAGGGGAGAAAGAAAAGCCGAGTGGGCAACGCACGAATCGAGGAAAGAAGCGATCCGTGAAATCTAATGCTGGGGTTGCGTGGGGAAAACTTCTTTCCCAGTCTTCACAGGTGGATATCTGGTTA